CCACTCTGATATGAGTCTAGACACCGGTGGACATTAACTCCCAAACCCCCCACCCCCCCACCCCACACACCTCCCCGGCGTCTGACACTAAAATCAGGCAATTGGTCACTGGGGGTATTTTGCGTATAGTGTTTTATCACCGTTTTGGCGTGACACGCTCTCAGCTATTTATTTCTCTTTCGGGACTCAGAGTGTCCATGAGCTGTCGTTTGACACTGAGAGCCACTGGCGAGAACCTGATTGGTCGGTTAAGGAGACGGCAAAATACAAAGAAAAGGGGGTCTTGTACAGGCGAAAACGTCTCGTTTTACCCAAAACATGTACCTCTTTTGGTCCACGCAGTGGCTATGAACAGCCAGTTGACGGGAATCTGACGCCCAGCTTCCAAAGAACGCTATACAGCTAAGCATTTCACGAACAACCGCTGGCAAGAATCCGATTGGTCGGTGAACGACATCACAGGTAATTAGCAAATATGAAAGCAGGAGCGCCTGGTTTTAAGCTGCACAAAAGCACACCCCCACACACCTCTTTTAGGCCTCGCATCCCGACAGTGTCCGTGAACATCCACCCTGAAGCGTCGAGAATTACGAAACGCAGCTGTTTGGCTGGGCTCTTGGACATGTCGCCATCGTTTTCCGGTTCACAAGCCACCTAAAAGGCAGAGAAGAGGAGGAGGAGGGTAAGTACTAGCAAAAAGCCTCAGATTGTTCGTCTTATGCAAGCATCAATTAACCGATGAGCGATGGCAGGGTATTTGCCGAATACCAGACAAGATAAAACACACAGCAATTGTGTCAGCCAACACGCATTAAACGCAACGAAAAACAACTGGAACTGCACCCTAAGTACATCATCCTCATGGGGTTTTCAAGACCGAAGTAGTATGGAAGGCATCAGGGGTTGGCCGGGCTGGAATTCCTTTTTGTCGGCCTGTTTTCGGTAACCAGAGTGCTCAATTAGTCACTGAGGCAACGTCGCAAACGGTGACAATCAGGTCGGGCGGTTTGTTTTAATTGCCTACAACATTAAAGGTACGCGGGGGGGGGGTGCGGCGGGCTATTCTTGCACTGAGACGTGATTTCGAATTGTAATTTGATTTATATCGTGTCTGCGCGTAAAATGCAAATTTTGCCGGCCAACACTGCAATTGACTTGCACAAATTAGAGTGGTTAATTAGGGGACTTTAAAGGTTTTAGTTACGGATCGAGAAAAATGGCTGTTTTAAAGTATTTCACAAATGGATAAAAACGGACCAGGCATAGACGACTTCACTTGTTTACTGTATAATTCAAACTGATCACTGCAATATGGGCCATGTTATTGGTTTCCAACATGTTGTTTAAATTCACTTGATTTCACTGAGCGCAAATCGAAATTCGTTCGCTCGGCGAACCCCAACACGAGTTCGGTCACATTCCTTAATTATCATTTGTTTTATACGTGATGTTTATTGATTTTCTTGTTTAGTTTAGCGCTGGCTAGAGCCTAAAGATAGGAAAACAACTATTATTTACAGTCACACCTGGTTTCTGGAAATGGGGCCTTGAAAAACAGCCCAAGTTGCTGCCAAGAGGCAATCGACGGGCCAGTTGGCGACTGCCCAACCACAACATTGGCACTGAGCATTTATTCGCGAGAATTGACCGAGTACGCAGACCTGATTTAGTAGCAACCTGTTAACGGCGTTATAAAGCGTGTCTACAATTTTAAAATACACGCAAATCTTGGATTTTTCGGTACAAATCGCGAATTGACATATTTTTTGGTCTGTGTGTGACGCTAACATCCCGGACACAGGAGAAATTAATTGAAACAAAACACTGCTACAAGCTACAAACGCACAATTGCCTGCCACGTGGCTAACGTGTCTAGGACTCAATTAGTGTCATATCGGCGTCAATTTTTGGACAAAAACAGCCACCGGCTGGGTAAAACTATTCTGATACATCAACGATTGTCGGCCCAGGTTGCCTTAGTGCCGACATCTGCGCAGACAGATGGCTGTCAGGTGATCCTGGCACAACGCAAGTTCACACGTGATGGGGTGGGGGTACCGAGTTGGGAAGAGCTTGTCTGCCCACCGAAAACCCCCCCACCTACGCCCCCTCTCACAGAGGGGGGCACAAGTGGCAAGCAAATGCAGGGGTACCCAACCAATTCATCGCCTTGAGGGAAAACTGTAGCTTAGGTTGATATTTTTGAATCGTGATTTCGCGCACTTTTCAAATTGGCACTGTTTGAACTATGCTTAAACACCCCTAGTAAGCTATAGCGATTTTACCCCGTCATAAAACCAATAAAATCGATTTCGAGGGGGTACCGTTGATACTTCCCAGACAAACATATCATTGCATTTGTGACCAACATGCACAGATGCCACGTTAGGATAGCGGACGTTTATAAATATAATCGGTACTCTAAGGAATTAGACTTGACCTTGAGCCGACCAATAGGCAATGAGCCTGTTCGGAAGACTCATGTACAAGGCTTAAAAGCAGCCCCTTCCACTGCTAAAAGCATTTTTTATAAGTGGTCCGATGTACCATCTATGATTTACCCAAGAGGGGACAACGAATCGAGGCGATAAGGGAACGCGGATTCGAAGTTCAAAAGCAAACCCATTAGCTGGAGAAAACAGCTCTCAAAACACGCCGCGGGCACTTTGAAGACAAATGCACCCGCAGACAGCATTTTGGAAGCTTTAGAAAAAGTGCAATTTTCTACTTATGCATTAGACGCGTCATTTTGCACTCACGAGCCAATCGGTTATAATTTCAGTCGACAGGTGTGGACTGAGATGTGTTTTCCACGCGTTTCAATTTGTAATCTGCGCATCGCGTAGGCTTGTGCGAAAATTGCTGTCATAAATAAACTTTTCGCTATGTAGAGAATGCTAAACAACATTTATGAAAAGTTGTCCTTCTGAGTTGATCTGATTTTCGCTTGATCTCCCACAATTGATCCAATCAACGGTGGTTCTATTTACACAAAATTAGTTGGAGCTAACACCTGCTATGGCATGTTACACGAGATTCCGTCGATTGAAATTCATTGGTGCGTTAAAGAGATGATGAATAACACTGTGACAAGATGTTGAATTGTGACTTTACCCTGCTTGACTTCACTGTTTAAATTGCGCATATTTTCCCTTCAAACGGTCTAATTTTGCGTAGCAAAAAGTGCACATGACGCCCCAAATTACACCATTACAAAATCACATGAATTCATTCACATGAATTTTACTCCCCAAAATAATATACAGCATGACTTACACGCGCACAGTAGCGCTACAAATAATCGATGAAATCGATCGATTTTTGCCCAATCAGATACTGGGTCATTAAGTGGCGCCAAATTAGCGTTTGAATTTTTCCAAGAATCCCAATTTGAGAATAATGAATGCGGGTTTCCCACCAACTCTAAGATAAACAAATTTGCTACGTTGCCATCCTCAGTTGACTTTTGTTGGGCGTGGAAAAAGAGTTTTGCTTTAAATTATTGCCTGTTTAAATGGATACACCAATTTTACTTTGCAATTAACTTGAGAAAAAATTGGGTTATGCAAGAACGACCTCTATACATTCTTTCTACCCCTAGATATAACTAGACAGACGAAATATCACATTAATGTTACCTAAAAATGCCATTTAAAAAGGAAAAATCAACGACTACTCTGCCAAGATATTGTTCTGTCAAAAACCCAACCTTTCAGATCAAAGGGGACGTTTTTGAGTAGAGAAAAGAATCACCATGATCCCAAGAAAGATTTTGTTTCAAGAGACATTAGCGTAGACTAAATGAATTGAAAATTTTTCGGTGGTCAGAATTTTTGACGATTGTAAAACAGTCTGTTTCTTCGTCTTCCTGTTGTAGATTTAGTTTTATTTAATCTTACAAACAGATTTTTGACAAAATGCTCTACCATGTGGAAGGAGGTTGGTGAGGAAGTCGTGGAGCCGTTATAGGATGGTCAGAAGGAGAAATCGATACGAGTTACAAGAAATATTAAAACGAAGAGCGTACTGCCACTGATTGAGTAGCAGTTAAATTATAAAAAATTACAGAATGCTTCCGCATTCGCCAAAAATCTTTGAATGCATTTTGTAGAGGTATTAGTTGAGAAGGAGTTTAAAAATTGCTAAAATTTATCCACTTGTTTAAATCGCCAATAAACTCGCAAGGCGCGACTGACGACATGCAGGATGGGGTAAAAAAAGACAACTAAGAGGCACACAATGGCATTGCTACACCGGAATTAAAAATTCAGACAAAGTAAGCACATGCAAATGAAGCGACTTAAACCTATCGCCACGATGCAGTGACCAGCGACATTATAATCTTTGCTTTCTTGCTCTAAGCAGAAGTTTAAACGGCGATTTTGAGTACTTTCCTTGAAGAGGAAAAACCCCAGCCATTGGTGCAGGATAAAAGGCTGACCTAGAGTACCGATTTAAACAAAAAACAGCGGCAGAGTCAAGACCGAAGAAGTTGAATTTAAACAGTCATAAAATGAGTTGATAAACAACACCGCCAGATGATAGATTAACCGAAGCATAAAATGGACGCTTTCTTGTCGACAACATTACGCGATGTTATAACTCAATTTTGTCGAATAAAGTAGCTTGACTGAAGTAGATACAAACGATGGCGAGTTGCTTTAGCGCACTAATGTATGCTCCAAGGTTTAAGATAGACCCACTGAGATTCGACTCAACGGACAACGATTTATTCGCAAGGAGGGAGTTGGTGTTGAGTGCTCAAAAGCACAACACGTGTCACGTGAAGGAAGAGCTTTAGACAAAAGTACACACTGACAAACCAGATGCATTTGGATGAAGTGAGGAAGTCTGTTGGTGACACGATGGATCCAAATGCCACATAGAACCGATTGACGAAGACGTTTTCATCATGAATAGTGTGTGTGAGGTCGTGTGGCGGAGCTTGGAAGGCACTAATTACCACAACTTTCCCAAATGGCGGCACGATGGCGACTTAAACAAACTACCTAATTTGCAATTATTTCAGTTCTCCTCTGTTTAAATTGAAATCTTGCATAACTTTTGAATTCAAGGCTATAGAAACTTGAGTGGAAATTAGATAAGCGGTCAATGTGTAATTGAGACTAGGTCTCTGTTCTTAATTTTCCAAAAAGAAATGTGTGCGCCAAGTGTACGACACAGAACCCTCAAAATTATGGACACACACACACACACCAATAAATCTCCGTGGGATTGGTTGGCTGTGCGAATGAGTCATCCGGCAGGGGAGACAATTCCACACCCTAACAACTGCTTCGACCTTGGAGACGGTAAATTACGATTGGAGATGCGCGGGTATCCTTCTCTTCGAATGTGCGACGGCGCCAAACCCGAGGAAACACGTAACATCAACTCCCAGGACTTTAGCCTAGTAGAAATTCCTTACCGTGAAGAATTCCACCTCCCCGAAGCAGTGACATTGCGGTGATTTAAAAATTTGGGCGTTGTCACGGAAAACATCACGCTGAGAAAACCAATGACTGATTTGGACAATGGCAGGCGTCAATTTTTTGACATTCACGCATAAATTTGCTTTCTTCCCAATTACTGCTTGCAAGGGATTTTGGATTTGCAAAAAAAGCCAGTTAGCCAAGTTCATTTGCCCACCCGCATTTTGCGTGGTCGTGCACAGCGGGGCTGTTGCTAATACTTTACGAGTTGACGCAATCTATTTTTGGTTTAATTAATTATTTCTTGCAGTTTTTCACCAACACTAAACAAAACAACAACAGAAAACGACTACTGTTGCATGTTTTTCTCTGCCAAATGAAATCCCCCTTCTCATTGGTTATCAAAAATGCCATCACCAACATTATCATCATCTCCACCTACGCCTTCTACCCCCCTTGTTTACGGCGTTTTCGAAATTTGCGCATATGAAGCAGATGGACCAGAAGACGGCCGTGTCTTGATTGAAAAAAATACCAAAAATTCCACCGATGAGGATGCTTTGTAAGCTAACTAAACCGAATCTTACTCCGACCAATCACGTGCAATGTGAGTCGAAACTGACCCGTGGGGGATTTCTGATTCGTCGAAGCATTCGCAGTGTCTCGACAATGGGCTCGAATTGGCTCAAATTAGCAAAATTAACCCTCTGTCTATTGCTGTCACGGATTTTGCTTTTTGTGTATCAAAATACGCCAAAATCAGTCAGCGAGGGAGGCTGCATGTTTTGTGAAAGCGAATCTCGATGATGAACCGAATTGGCCAAGAGTATAATGAAAGTCCCTATATTTGCAGGTTTTGTAGCCGACTGATCTACCGTCGACAATTGAACACTTAAACGGACGCCTTTTGAACAACCACCGCAATGAGTTGCGGTGACTACGTGGGGAAGTGGACATGGCCAATTCGGGTTCCACTAAGCTCCGATTCTGGTACACTACAAGTCCACATTGGAAGCAGTTCCGCTGTTGACCAGTTCATGTCCAACAGCCTGGAATTTTGCCAACGCTTCTAGGAAGCAATGAGGCCTAGACGACTGTGGCAGAAAACGTGCTACAGGAACTCGATGACTACCGAGCACTTAAAATAGAATTTTTCCCGAAAAATTTGTAGAAAACAGACTGCTACGTCAACACCTAGGCCTCCTAAGTTCGTGGACATGAAACAAATACCAGAAAAGCACCAAAATCGAAAGAACTACCTCCACCAATCAGGAACGTCCAACTCACCGTAGAGTAGGAGTCAGTAGGGGCCGCGTCCGTGCGATCTTTTTTGTCGGCTGCGACAGGACACGTCGCCTTGCGGGCGTCACCGGACCTCGACTTGAAGAGGAACAGTCTGCAACGCAACTGCTTCTTCCCCGCTTGCTGTTGCGCCAGTGTCGGGTTCACGCCAGACAGCCGATAGACGGTTTTCTGGAAGGAGTCGACATTGGCGAAGTAGACTGGACCGTCGTAGCGGATGATCTTGATGCCGTCGAGCTCGTGGAGCTGAAAGTGTCGGAAAAAAATAAACTAGTCAGTAGAACCTCTGGTGCTAGCAGTACCCTCCAGCCCCACTTTGACGGCAAATTGCCTGCCACCTAATTGGCAATAATCCGAAATTCACGCAATCCAGATAACAACTTGACACGCAACGCAGAGTCTGAAATTCCAACTGCGAAAATGTGACTACGATTCATCTTTTTTGAAAGAGCTGACCAAAGGCCACCCAAACGGACTTTGATTGAGCAACTGAGCTCTTGTTTTTCTCCACTAGGAACCTTTGCGTCACTTAATCCAGTGACGCAAGAAGGTAATTTCGGTTTTTTTAAACAACCAGGTAGCCTATGGCGGTATTTTCTTCCAAAATCGTCCATGGTGTCATGTTGTGTGTGACTAGCTTGTGGAATCAGGTCACAGATAATCATCTGTTTTCATCCGTGAAGACAGAAAATGTTGCTAAGGATATGTGAAGGTTGCGGTGGTTATTGGTTAACAAAATGCTGAAATATCTGAAGGTGCAGGTTAACTGATTAATCGAATTTGTGCAAGAGGTGTACAGGAAGTGTTTCGGACTGGTTCAATGCACAACCAATCAATTTTTAAGACTCGAATCTTAGTCTCGATTAACTTGTCTCATGTTCAAAGCTATTTACCACTGGCGATGGGGAATAGATCGCCCACACTAGCACGCATCGGAACCAATCATGGTCCAAGTGTGATAAACCGAATCCACAAACGTCGAAAATAGATTTGGTTGAATTACAAGCGTGTTGTGTATTTTAATCTGCTTCCAAGCAATCAACGACCAATTGGCGACGTTGTTTGCCTACATAGCTTCCACCATGCATCGCCACTTAGTTCCAAGCATTTGATTGGTTGAGCATGTTTCTATGATGATGATGATTATGTAAAGTCAGCATGATTTTTGATTGGTTGAATTCGGGGGATCGGATGAATACGATGTTGATTAAAAAGGGCGTTCTCTCACCATAAACACAATCAGAAAAAAAGCATAATAAAACAATCAGATGAGGAAAAAAAGTTTCTCGTGAACAAAGTTCAAACACGCGCGGAAAAAGCTGCAAGGTGCCCCAATGTGGAACGCCTCTTTTTCCACTCGTCTAGACGGTAGAGTTAACGCACATACGCACACACACACACAAAACCGACCCCAAAACTCGCCAGCGGATGCTTACCTCCTCGAAGCGTTTTAGTTCAGAGTAGAGGTCCGTGTCCCTGGCCGAGCCAAGCAGAAAACGGTCGCCATATTGACTTCTTGAGACCACTGTCAACAGAGAGTAGATGAAGCCGATAGCCACGCCGTAGACGATGTCGATTGTCAGCGTTGCCAAGAAGGAGACAAGCCAGATTGACTGGAATTGAAGCAAGAAATTCTACCTAATCACCAGTGGAATGCCTCATTTTGCAATGACTGATTACCGATGTCATTTCCATGTCATTTCTGACACCGCAACCCAGCTAGCCTCATCCTTGAGACCAGGCAAAAGGAGCATTTAGCCGTGGACTACGCATTTTTTTGAATGGAATGCCCAATTTGCTTAATGGCCGCAAGTGATGAATGAATTTGGCGTGTCGTGTTAATGTGTCGCGTGGTGTTTTAATCATTTGTCACCTAGGTTACGCTTTTTAAATGCACAAAGTGTCCGATGTTTACTTTTTTTGACAAAAATTAAAACATAATGAAGGAAAATTTTTACTGCTCAATCATACATTAAGGGCTCAAAAGGTGAACCATCAATTGCAGAGTCGACTGTTTCTTACTTAAAACCTCTGCATAACACTGCGGCAGTCTGCTTTTGACTGTTTAAGGTCTTCTCTGGAACACTTTTGGCCACAAACTGGGATTCAAAATTCTTAGATTGCCAACAGTGATATCCAAGCATCAAATTCGAGGCGCAAGATCATGTCTCAGATGCAAATTCAAATTGATAGGTTGTACTTTTGTACATTTTAATGCCGAAAACTTCGGATTTGCTTACACCTGGGCAATGCCGCATAATATAGCGTGGACACGTTAAATTCCCCCATCCAAGTGGTCGTAAATTAAAACAACAAAAGTGCGGCCTTGAGATTCCACCACTTAGGAGAGGCGAATTTCCCGTTTTTTGCTGTAAAATAGAGCTAGTACTTTTACACAACTGAGCCACACCACTTTTTGCGGACCACTGCTTGACAAAAACCCATTATCAGTAGAATTTTGTTGAGAGCCTCTGTTGATTGTGCATTTTCAAAAAAAAGTCCGCCATTTTGATTGTAGGTCTTCGGTGACGCCCTGATGAATGCGCTGATTAAAATAAAATTTTGCAAGACTGATAAATCAACCTGGAGTAGACTCAAACTCAGGCGAAACGTTGCTCACCGCATCGACTTTGGAAACCTTCCACAGACGTCTGAGGTCGAGGATCTTCTTGAAGGTGCTCGTCAAAGCAACACACACCACCGAAGCCAATACAGCCTAAAAGCCAAGAACAAGACGTAGTGCCTTGTTGGAGTAGCAATTTAAATGCTGGCCTCACCGAGGTTTACGTGGCATTGTGATATTTTTACGAAATTCACAAGGATCCATACTTGGTACAATGGATGCATTTGAAGAGGAAAAATTATCTTTAATGGGTCAAAAATTTAAAACTAAAATAAGACGTTTTGATATTTCCTAGGGGAACAAGTATAAGGTGTGGTTGATTTGCTTTTCGCGTCTAAATGCATGCAAAAATCACGCTGTAGGTGAATTAAACGAGATAACTATCTTATAGCTAAGAACACCAACACATCTCAACATTTGTAAACGACGTCTTACCAGACATGAGTCGATTTGTTTAATTGACCTCTCAACTATGATTGACCATTCAAGGGGATTTCACCTGACCTTGATCTGACCAATAGGCAATGATCTCATTTAAACCATTATTTAGCCCAAAGTGCACATTTGAGTGAGCGTGCCTAAGTCTGGTCATCTTTTGTTATATATTGTTAAAAATCGTCCCCAGTGTGTGTGGACAAGCTAGATTTTGGTTATGAATTGCGCGTCTAGCCCTAATAGGCAGTAACCATGGTGGTGATTTTTTGTCTGTTAACTAATTGAATTTGAGTTGCAATTACCTGCGGGAGTGCTTCCAAGTATGGCGCGATAAAGAAGAGAATTAGTAAGAGCAATCCGCAGGATATCAGAGAGGCAATCTGAAACAAAAACCACAGGCAATATCATCTAAGTTCCGAAAATGCCAGCATTTTCTTGCGTTGTCACGGTATTTTTTAAGGCCAAAAAACCAGTTAAATTCACAGAGACGCAAGCACACACCATTGCTGTGTTCGCCTGCATATTTTTTTTATTTAAGGCGAATCACGTGTCAGCTTGAAGGATTGATTGGTTGAAAGGGAAGCATTTGGACTAGGAAGTTGTAGTTTTTTTGGCTTAAATAGGTCATAATAAACCCGTAAAAGGGTGCAAAGAATTTGCAGAACGAGGCAAACAAAGGCACAGATAATGCAACCTGTGAAGTCATGCCGATTGTCACAACAACAGCTGTTCGTCCAAGTGCACCACAAGCGGTGTGGCATTGGAAGAAGGAGGCGAACGCGTTGCTGATGCCAACTGCTAGCAATTCCTGGAAGGAAGAGGAGATTTCTTAGTGTTGAGGTCTCAACTGCGCAGCACGCATGTCAGGGCTTAAGCAATGCCACTTGCTGTGTCACGAGAAATAGATGTTAAGCAAAACTACCCACCGACAACACGTGTCCAAAATGGAAACACATGCGTACCCCCACACACCCCCTCGACGGTTTCGAAAAATAACAGCAAAAATGGATTTACCACGAGTGTATTTTTTAAAGCCTACATCACGTGGGTTCTGACACGAACAAGTAAAACCCATGTTAGGGACCGCGTTATTGGCACCATTTGATACGCCCAAGTTATCGATCTCGTTGTGACTAAGAGGATTACGGTTGAAGTGCCTTAGACAAAAACCCCTAGATTAAACAAGGAAAAGGAAAGCAGACGAAACTTCTGTCCAATTAGAATTAGAGAGAATTTCAGCTAGTAAAAAAAGGTCACACATTATTGGTGGATGTGAGGTAAGTAAATAAACAGAGGTTGCGTTCCCGTCTGTTCTCTTTCAGCAAACATTCGTCAAAGTGCTGCTGACATCCACTGTTCTGGCTGATTAGACGGCTGTCACGTCACAGGTTGAGAAAGACAGCAAAAACAACAAAAAAACACACATTTTGCACAGAGAACACCTAAATTATAGCTTAAATATTCTTGAGCGCTTGTAGACAGCATGCACTTTAAACAAAGTCATTAAAGTAAGTTGATAAACAACACCGCCAGATGATAGATTAACCGGAGCATAAAATGGACGCTTTCTTGTCGACAACATTACGCGATGTTATAACTCAATTTTGTCGAATAAAGTAGCTTGGCCGAAGTAGATACAAACGATGGCGAGCTGCTTTAGCGTACTTTTTGAAACACACATCAATTGAGATGGCACTAATGTATGCTCCAAGGTTTAAGATAGACCCACTGAGATTCGTCTCAACGGACAACGATTTATTCACAAGCAGGGAGTTGGTGTTGAGTGCTCAAAAGCAAAGCATGTGTCACGTGAAGGAACAGCTTTAGACAAAAGTACACACTGACAAACCAGATGCATTTGGATGAAGTGAGGAAGTCTGTTGGTGACAAGTTGGGTCTAAATGCCACAAACGAATTGTTTGGAGACATAGAACCGGTTGACATAAACATCCACTCCAATTTTCGTTAGGACAACTTGATTTCTCAACTTGCAAATGAAGTTTGCTCTAATCACGAGAGGAACAGCAGACTGACATCGTGGTATTTGCCTAGTTAGTGACTGACCTGGTTATCTAGAACATCGTAGCCGAATTCCGTAGCGTAGGTCTTCACGAGACCAGCATTCACGGCGAAGACGACTGCGCCGATGACGAAGATGTCAGCTATGAGATCGGAGAAGTAGGCAAATGTTGGCACCACCGGTGCAGGAAGCCTAGAATGAGTAAATGGACCTGGTGATCAGGCAAGTTTGAGCACCAAGTACATTGAACGACTAGGGTGCGCTCCGTGCCTTCGAGCTGCGGAAACTGTTGGATGAAATTGAATTCACGATGGTTTGTGTGTGTGTTGGAATGAATCTCGTAGAAGAACCATCTACTGGGGAATTACGAAGTGTTTTTCTTAATCAAATGGCTTTTTCGAAGTAGATAATGTTACTTCAAAATTACTCAAACCTTCTTAACACAAAAAGGACACGCGTGTGCGTGATTTGCACCTAGTCGAGCTTATTAGCGTTTGTTTTGAGTCAAATATTAATTCACAACAGAGATTTAGTGACAGGCAAGCTGAATAAGGTAAAGGTGTGAACGTGTGATTTTCTTTGCGCAATCTAAATGCGGCTTAAATGAGATACCTAGAGTGTAGCACGACTGACGGTTGACATTTCATCGCTACAAACGTTTGAGAAAGGCAGGTTACCAGTTCATCGCAACTAACATTCCACCGATACGAACACACACACACGAAAATATGCTCACTTGTCGTGTTGGTATGTCTGACCATTCAAGGGAATTAACCTGACCTTGCTGCGACCATGTGATGTAGCCATGTTGGCCTCAGCGAGGTTTTCAAATCACACCAAGGTCATTTTTAACATTTAAATGAGCCTGCCTAGGTCCTGTTAACCTTTGCTATGAGTTGGTGATAGTATACCCCATTCGCGAAGCATCTATAACAACAACAAATCAAGCGAACTCGTGTTTCGATCGTCTTATCAATAAACAATTCACTTTCTCATCGTGCTCGAACAAATAGTAAATATAACTGACGCCAGCACAGCTAAAATGCTTTGAAAATCATGTGAACCCGCATTGTTAGTGCACTTTAAGTCACAAAATCGTGGCTTATTGTTAAAAAAAACCTCGTAAGAAGGACTGTATGTCCGTTTTTTAACGCCTATAATCACCACAATCATCAATCATGCCACAGTAAATGTGCAAAGTTGTTTTAATGTACCACTACCGGTGGTGTTGCTGATGAGAGTTGTATTAAAACACGGGGGGGGGTTTCAGTGGACGCAGCAATTCGTGCGCCTTTTTAACTGACTCGACGTTATCTTGATAACCAACTCTGCTCTGCTTGCGAAATGCAAAAAAAACCACACCACCTGCAAAAATCAGGGTGAAAAGTAGGCCTGGGGAGTTAACATTGAGCAGCTTACCCGAAGGGTATTTGGCCAACCACTTGGACACCCCAACGCTGCGAGAAGCCAATGAAATGCGACAGGACTGTAGAGAGAATGACCTGTAGGAGAAAGAGGCGACGTCTCTCATTAAAACAACGCATTGCAGGGAACACACAACTAGGCAACAGCTTGTCTGTGTCTACTGTTGTGTTAGTTTTGTAAGTAGTATCAGCCAGGTTTAGCACTACCTTAAAACCCTCTAGTTAACAGCCCTTTTCAACTCGAGAAGAGGGAAGACAAAGGAGTCGACAGAGAACACGACCGTTTATTGGCGCCAGTAACTATTCTTGTGTGCGTAACAGGCGACTGCTGACAGGAAACAGTAACAAAAAGGGTGAGCCATTGGTACACTGGGGCCAGCATACACACATCACTCATGCGCGGTGGCTGTCTGTCCAGTACAGTGCATTCACGAAAAATTGATTAAATTGTTTTGGTTCACTAATGCCAGCTGTGCTGGCTTGCTGCTCGCCACAACTGACCCGTAGACAACACAATTGAACGCCGATTTATGCTGACGAAAGTAGGTGCTTTATTAATGCCGCAAATCACACTTGATGGTCCTTATATATTATGGACAGTGGATTTCAGCTAGAAAACGGTTGCCAAATGAGCTGGTCGAAGCCAAGGTAAAGTGAAAGTGTAACTGACAATGTATTATACGTCGACAAAGTAGGCAATGTAGGCACTATTTAAGTTTATTGTTCAAAAATTAAGAAACGACTGTCGATTTTAGGTGCGTTAACCAAGTAGCAAAACTATCTGGCTTACAAGTTAGAAATAACGAAAGCAATAAACTGAACTGAAGTGCATAATTGAATTGTTGCAAATTTAGTAGTTCAATGTGTTTTCCAAGACAATAATCAGAGACAAGAGACATTGCTAATTACTTTTCTAAAAATGCGTTTTAAGATAATTTTAGCACAAAAGAAACGTACGACTAGTAATTCAACGGGTATTGGAAATTTAAACCTTTTCCGAAACGGCGGATTTATGAAGATTCTGAAGATATGAAGTATCAAAATATTGGTGGCGCACACCACGATAGTAGCAATATTTGCCTGTTTTATGTTTTTTGCCAAATAGTAGTATTTCTGGAAAAAAAGTAAAAAAGCAAAGATATAGCAATCATAGACTGTAAAAATCAAATTGAATTCAATAAACAGATTCAGTTCACATAAGATATTGGTAAATTTGCAACTACCTACCATAAATATATTTCCGGGTCCATAAGCGCGAGGTAACTTGAGACCAAACATTGAGTTGAGTTGGCTAGTTACCACGTGGAATGCAGAAGCACACATGAAACCACTTATAAACGGACCAGACAGGTAGGTTACCAGGAAGCCGAATTGGAGCAATGCCATGATTACCTATATCAAGGGAAAATAATGAAGTCCTAGCACAAACAGATGAGATGAATTTAAATCAGCTGAGATACCTGCAGTATTCCAACAGAAAATGCCAGGGTCACAGCAACATTAAGCCTGAAATTATACTCATCGTCACTCATGCCAATACTGCTGTTGGAATGACTTGGGACGTAGTACAGGTTTGTGATCCGGTTGATTGGGTTGCAAAATAAAAGAGCGGCTAACGAAAATGTACCTAAAATAACAATCAAAGTATTTAGACTAAAAAACCATGGCAGGAAACTGAAAGCAACAACTGAGATCGAAACGCACCGAAAGAATTGTGTCTTGATGTCGTAAAAAAGAAATACGCCAGAACAGGAAAGAAAGACGCATATAGACCATTTACTGGACGAAGACCAGCAAGTGCACCATAGGCCATTCCTAAAGTTACCAACAATGTGTGGAACACCACACTAGCAAATGTTACCTTGAGGTAAGTGAAAAAATGCCATAGTCACCCCGGCAATCACATCAAGAGCAAAATTATGCAGATTGTAAAAAGAAAGTAACGACCTGAAAACAGGGAACAGCTCAAAGCCGAAGGTTCGTAGTCTAATTTTCAGAAGAGATGCTTTAATTCTTGAAGCAGTAAGTTTGCCTTTTGGAATTTCGTGGAATTCATCTATGAATTCCCGCTGATTATACGTCAACCGATTAACTCGGTACGACGTACGACCGAAATTTTCTGCAGATTCATTCATCGTCAATGCCAGTAATTAGCACAGTCTGTCAGGCACCAGCATGGAATACTAACAACGGTAAATAAGATTTGTTATTAAAAAGCGTCAGTGACCTATAAACTACTAAAACTAAACGATAAAACAAACAACCAGTGCAGAAACATTGCAGTTTACAAGGCTTAACTATTTTAAAACTATTAATTTACTATTTTAGACCTACGTGCATTGAACAAAATCTGCAGATCGTTTTCAAGTTTGATTAAAAATATGGTGACAACAGTAATTGCCTATATGCCAATTTTACAAGTAAAATTATGTTTATCCTCTGGCACAAAAAAATTCTCAGACGGTCTATTGAAAGCCTGTAGCAGGAGAAAACTGCTCGGAATTTATCCTTAATGGCTGTTATCGTGTTTCGTTGCGTTCGAAATATCTGACTGCATTTCAATGTTTTACTTAGTTGCGTACATTAAATGGGCTTTCTTTTACGATTTACTTGCACTCATAGCCCTTGTTTGTAATTTACAATGCACAATTATATTCAGACGGTTATACGTACACATTTTCCATGCGACTCGAGCTATAGATTTGTAAAATAGACTGGCAATATATAAGCAAGTCAAAGTCAAGCACACAAAGTAGCATTCAACGATGACAGGTATTGAGTAAGATTTTGGTTGATTTAAATCTCTAATTAACTAATAATAAGGTTTTTGAAATTGAAAGAACGGAATATCTTTCCAATTTTCCAGGTGATAATGTGATTTGGTACTTGTAACGACAAAATTATATGCAATTTGAATTCAGACCTACCTATAGCATATGACTGCTGACACCCGCACACTTGTTATTCCCTTATTAGACATGAAACATAAATGAGTTTGAAAAGAGTAACACCGGACTGCATGCTCCACTTGCGTATTAGTTCTGTATCTTTTTTTCGAGTTTGATTTCTAACTTGGTTGCTTTTAACTTGATTGATTTTGCACAAATCGTGAACAAAATAAATGAAAACTGAGATTTTGGATTAATAATGGCCTCAAAAAATGAAAACGTAATACTTAGTGCTTATGCGCTTTATCCTACTTCCACAAATAGAACCAAAGACACAACCCTAAAACAAGGAAATTTTGAATTGACGAATGAGACTGATTTGTATGCAGAAGTTTCCATGGGTAATTCACATATGAGTCGATTACCATGACAGACAGTGTGTTGGGGATCATCATCAGTTTTGTGTATAATAAAGCCTAATCGAAGATTGAAACCCGTTAATTCCGTGTATGAGATAAGAATTCAGTGATTGATTGAATCTGCGTGAAAACAATTCCCCAGTACTCCATATGCTATTGCTACGTTCACTTACTTAAAGCAATAAATGTTAGATCATGTACATAAGGTAAGCCTTACTGCAAACGTTCAATCATTGGACTGAGTCAAAATCCTTATTTGCTCAAATTAGGGTGATTAATTGCAACACACCTCAGCGATGGAACCAAATGACACCTTAACCACTAGACCCCCTTGCCTTAGTATAGGCAGTTTTCAGTTTGCTTGAAGATCGTGTCTGGCACAAATACGGGGACATAGAAACGTTTTGATTGGTTAAGCTGAACTGTTCACTCATCAAGTTGTTTGTTTTCACGTCTTCCATGGCCGCAACGGGAGCAGTGAGTTGTAGATTTAACGACTGTACAAAAGTAATCCTTTTGAATTAACGCTTGTGGGATTTCCACGCCGTTATTTTACTCCGTGATGTTTCAAGTTGATAATCGCAGAAATGCCTTGCGTGAAGCTGTTCACTGAACAAATTTGTAAACATCAGTTTAATGACGTAAATTGAATCGTGGCATATTTAAAATATGCTTACGCAACTTAACTTAGAGACCTTGCGTGGCTGCGCCTGCAAAGAGGCGAGGAATTCGGTCAGCTCATTCTGTTGACTTTCTGCGTCTTGCTCGTTTGTGTGCCTTATCGGTTGATGCTGAGACAATGGGACTGTTGATTTGCATGGATCTACACATCGAAGATGATTCGAAGATGTGCACACCGGAGCTCTTGAGTAGAATTTGCCCGTCTGTGCTACTGAGGTGGACAAGTCGATATATAGACCACCAGAGATGACTCAGACACGAGCAACCGAGCTGTGATGTGTGAGTACGTGCGAGCGAGCAATTTGCCTTCAATTTTGACTTGCCCAACCACTTTCTTGCCCTATCTACTCCTCCGCCTCCTCCTTCGCCTTCCCACTGTGGGCACACATCCAACAAATTGAATAGCCAGAAGAGTTAAAAAGATCTCAGATGTGGCAGATATACCGACGTGTGTAATAGCAGATGGTCTCCCACGCCTGCAACCGGAGTAGTGTGTTGCAGACTCAATAATCTAAATTAATGCACGTGATTCCTTGTTGAAGCTGGAACCGACCGTCCCACGCTACTACAACAAGACCAGAGCTTGTGTAAAGAGCTTTAGCCACATCAGCCACGTGCGGAATGGGTCGTCAAAAGTGAAAATAATTCAAGTCAGTATTGACTTTGACCTGATAAAAAGCGTAATAAAGCGCATGCTAGTGGATTAGTGTAAACTGTGCCAGAAATCAACGACGAGCAATCCTGGGGAATCGTGGAACCCAAACAGTAAACACTATTCACTACAAACTCTTCCGACTACTTGGCGAAAACACTTGGTGAGACTTCAAATAAACTTTTGTTTTGCAGTGCCGTATTTCATCACCACGAAAATAAACCACCAACCGTCATGGTGTCTGAGTTCTACCATTCTGTGAATTCAGGCCTGATGAACTGGGATTTCTGGGTAATGAAGACTGTCCCATTTCTTAAATTCTCAAATGTCGCTAAGTGCATTTTCACTTTTCTACAAAACAACTTTGATGTTTACGTTTGGGCGTTTGCAGATGGGTTTCTCTATCACGCTTCCTTCGTTTTCATCGGTCAAACAGTGGCATTTCTACATCCAATCTTGGGTAATGAATCTCGCGAAATCCCTCTCGTTCACTACCGTTCACGCACAAGCACTTCCTGTGTTTGCCAGCACCCTCACACTTCCTGGTAAGCCACTTCGTCCCAAATCTGTGTCAACCACCACGCACTCCAATGTTTATTCTGGGCCACTTATGCATGACTAAGTATGCCACATTAAGCCTCTTTGTTACCACACCTACGACACATGCAACCATCACTTCAGGCGCATCAATTGTACTAACAGAAAAAGCAATTCGATGTTTGCTTCCATCGTGCTACGACACATTAATTCAGTTGCAGTTCAAGTTCGAACACATCTCTCAAACTGACTGCGGACGCTAATTATGCATTCACCTGCACAATCATTCTACCTCATCACATCGAACAACACGCCATCTCACTTATCCATACAAGGCGTGTACTCAATCGCCAAAACTAAAGCTGACTTCATCCACACACTTCTAATTTGTTGTGAGTGTAGTATTAACACACACCGTTACTGCTTTCTGTTATTCCCTAGCCTGTAACCTTCATTTTCACGCTTAAGACTACACAGCTACTTTGCACTACCCACAGCCTCTGTTTATTCTCATATTTTCCTCTAACGTTTATCATCGCAACAGACTTGAAACTTAACCTATGATTGACGCCCAACAAATTTTCATCGTCTGCTTCATTAAGATTTGAATTATCCTGTCAAAAAAATACACAAAGAACAAAAGAAATTTCAATTGACAAATAAATTCAATTTCACCAATTCAAATACCGCGCCAACAAACACGCAAATCAGCTGACCACAGCATCAATCGATATTGACGATTTCATTCAAATCAAATTTCAAGTGACGTCGCGCTCACCAACCACCGCCTCATTCGCTTATTACGCCGTGCACGAAAACGTGATGGGACAAGCAGCTTCAATTCGTCGAAGTAGAACACCACACGCCACTTTCTGCAAGTCAAGTTTAACGGGCTTAGCGAAACGAGGCTTGTTGGCATTCTCCAGAGGCAGCCGCAGACATGATAAGTGTACGGTGCAGTTGAAACACACCACACCTAGAAAACTCAGCCACATCGACAAATCCATTCAAAGTCCCACCTGCCACGAGTCCTTTCTCGATGACGACAGAATTCAAGAAATCATCAGAAAATTTGATATTCTCATGATTTTGGGCATCATGCATCGACAATGGGACACATTATCATCCGTCACCTCCTCCACGTAAGTTGGCCTATCTCACCTACATTTTAATCAGGTTCTGAACCGTTACAAAAGCATTCTGCGTGTTTCACATCACCTTTCAGCTCGTTCTGTAGCTGACTGTCTGATTGGAGCTTTTCATCTCACAGCCGTCAGCCTCCAATCCACTGCCACGTATCACTACCATGTCTGCTGACTTAGCATCAACCGCCAGGCCAAAGTACAACAGTGGCAACACCCCTCTGGGGAATGGCGTGTCGTCTCGCCTCACTCAGGCTCCTCGACCGCACCAAACTTTGAATTTTCTCCACAACACAAAACTCACCTTCCTTCCCTACTAATTGCTTTGTGTTTGTTCATTTTTCCTAAAACTGCCACATTTTGTGCTCACCACCGATTCCTTGTTTAAACTAGGATTACTTCTGCCTCTACCTACCCCCTTCCTAATTCATTAAGTCTGGTGTTGTGTACAAAATAAACGATAGATTCGGGCTCCAAGTGTTCTTCCATTCTGAGGGTGGTAATTCAGAGGTGCACATGCGACTGACAAATTGCACTCGTACCAATTGCCTATGCTTATTACGCAGTGCATCTTGCGTTGACTGTCCCAACGCCGCAAGGTACTTTTCTGACATGATTACAAATTCACATTTAACTGGTTGCGCCTGGATCCATTTTTGCAGTTAGCCGGCATTATTGCGATGACCGCAACACTTGCTTAGTAATGAGTTTACACGCACTGTGTGGTTGAGCGTGTGGAATGTTTGTTTCATTTTCAGATGCTTTTTATTTCACACAGACTGCACTTGCTTCTGTCGTGAATCGTGTTTATTTAAC